ATCCGGATATATAACAAAGATCAAGAAACACGTGTAATGTCTGGACTCGCAATCTATAAAAGCTTAAAGAAAAATTACCATAGATTCAAATAAGAAATCTCGTCTAATAACATTTCATCCATATAAATTTAATATAATGATAATGACAAATATTTGTTTCTGTAATGTAGGCATTAATTATTATCTTTTCAAATTATCTAATACTCTTGCTGTTTAATAGATGAGCTTGAGATTTAATTAAAAAAAAAACTGAAAATAAAAACGGATAACTGTTAGGTATATAATAAACTGGTCTTTGACAGTTTTTTACAGTATTTTCTGAATGGTTGTATTCTGTAAGTTTCGTTAGTTGTGTTGTTATGAAGGTTTGTTACATAGGGATGAAACGCTCTCTGTTTCGTGTCTGTCAACGTTTAGTCACTATGCGCTTAACGCCCGGTTTCTGAAACAATGATAATCGTAGATGTTAACTAATCAGCTGTCAAATGGCTTTTCAAATGTCATTTGGGTTGCCAAAAGGATGGTTAAACTCTTTGATGGTTAAATTCATCATTCTGATCATTAAGAAGATCTTTCTGGTCAATTCAAAGAGTTTAACCATCCTTTCGGCAGGTAAAATGAAATTTGGAAAGCCTTTTAACAGCTGATTAGTTAACAGCTACGATGATCAATGTTTCAGAAGCCGGGCGTATGACTTATATACTGATTGTGTTTATATTTGTACATATGTTGTGGGGCGGACGAAGGGAGGCCTCGGTAAATTCCACAGACGTGTTCTACTTTTTGATAAACAACGTTTTATACGGCACAGTTTTCTCGTTAAAGTCCGGAATTTTATAAAGGACCCTAAAAATGTCTACATTTAGGGAAGGTTATCGGATTTGTGCCCGCAGTGATTTAATCGTATGCGACATTTATGTTCTATATGATAATTTTTTTCGTAAGTGATTGGAAGTGAATAGAGCGTATTTGATCGCCTTTTGTTCGAAAAAACTTAGGTTAATGTATTATGCTTACTTTAAACTCTGCGATAAGTACCTACGTAATATATCCCATACGCCCAAGTCGCTTGATTTTTATTTGTCTCTTAAATGTTTAATAGTATTTGTAAAAATTTCAGTCATTTTCAAAATAAAATAGAAAGTAGGTCCCCGAATAAAAAAAATATTTATGACATTTTATTTTTATCACATTTATCACTATATTTGTTGACAGAGATGTTCATATACTATTGACTATAGTTTCGGTGATGCCCAACGAGGCAGAACCGATATTAGTGAACGTTATTGTTGCAAACCGCTGAAAATGCATCCGATTTCCCTGTGATTTTATAGCGCGCGCGTTTTATCGGATTCAGGGCAGCGAGGACGATTGAGTTACTCCGTGTCAACACGTTAAATTAAAATAACGCCTAGGTATGTTAACTATAGCGCCATTAACTGTTTATTGTTAAATTAAAAACAGGGCTTATTCAAAAGGGCATTTCATAGTACATTAAGAACTGCGACCTAAGAAAGTGACTTTATGGTAATGCCGTTTTGCAAAACACATTTGGAAAAAAAAGAAATAGGTTTATGAAATGAATAATGATAAATACGAAAACCCGAAATGTCACGGTTTTCTACGGATTAATCTTATTTATAAAAGCGGTAGAAGTTATTGAAGTCCGTAAGGCTTGTAACAATTGTAAACTGGATAAATAATAACCTTTTTTACTATTTAAATTCAGACCACTAACTGATGTCTCCATGCTTCAGATTTCGGGTAAATATTGAATATTACTTACAATTGTAGAAACCACTATCGCAACGCGAAGAATAAGCGATGTATTTAATTATATTTATTGAACCCGGGTGGTACAGTCTTTCAAAACTTTTTATCTGTTTGACTTTCGTTCTATCACTACGAGAAACTCGATTTATTTAACTGTTTTCCGCGAAACTTTTTATCGCGCTCCCTTCCTATTTACAGATAAAAGAAATCCTTTCTAATTAAATAACACAAATGTAAATTGTAGTATTTCCAGTGCGTACGTTTCTATAATTTCAAATATGTTAGCTAATAGAGGAACGGTATTCATACGAAATAGGACATGTTGAACGCAGAATATATGTAATAAGTATGTATTGAACAGTTGTATCTTTTTGGAATTTTCATAATTATTTTTTTATACAATAGCAACTACAAGTATGTCACTGCCGATTATCTTCTTATGCCGAACAAAGGCTCAGAAACGAACCAGTCGATGCAACATTGTGACTATATTAGATTTTTACAATGACTTTCATAAAGGAAATCTACTTTGCCGAGATATTCAGAAGCACGTGTAATATCCACTAACCCGCATTGAAGCAGCGTCGTGGACTATGCTATAGGACATATCTCTGTGAGAATATTTTTATGACCGGAAACCACTGTCCGTGTCGGTATAACGCATTAAATGTGCTCTTTATAATACCCCTTTGAATACCTATTAAATTTATATCTTGACTTACAACATTATAAGATACAACTTTTTCTTATTTTCATTAACTTAACTACTAAATGGGTCGTAGTCGATTATTGAATGTAACATATAGAAAAACTATTTGTTAAATATTTAATTACTTCTCCCCGAACTATGGTCCTCATCCAATCATTATAAGATGGCAGTGAAATTCTTAGGTTTATTTCATAACGATATTATAAATTGTAAGTGGTATGTTTGTCAAATTGATTGGGGCGAAGTTGTTGATAGCACTGTCCCGATAACTTATTATGCAGCTAGGCACCCGGGTCAAGGCTCATCAGCCATCAGAGTCAAGGAAAGAAGTTCTATCCCGAGCCAAAAAATACACTTACTTAGTACATTTGCAACATATTGAGACAATACCTTTATGCCTTTTGCCGGACAATTGTACTTTCTTGCAAACGAATATATCATTTCTTCAATACCATTACGTTGTTAATTATATTACTTCGTCGAGTTTTAAAGTTAATGTCATGCAAATACACCCCATCTGTGTTTCTCTGGGGTATTATTATCTAGATGTTGGATGTTCGAATCAATGGAGACAAGTTATATTCAGTCCAAGCAAGTTCGACAAGCCAGTATCGACGTCCGAACGGAGTGACAATTAATTCATGTTTATAAATGACTGGATTGAGACTAAGGCGGACTCTAATGGCGTATTGTCTAATAAATTTATCACTTAACAGTCGATTTGAAGAAACTATTATATTCACAATCGACGGTGTTATCAACATTATACGCCAGCTCTTAAGCCGATATTAAACGGGTCCGAATTAATAGTTCCGTGAACGCGATTGAGGTAAATTAATTTCTTGCCTCTTGCGCAAAAAGTCACCAAATCTACTATACAAAAAGTTGAAAGAAATTTATAACAATCTTAAAATATAAAATAAGATTACACAGATCTGTGATGATTGCGCTTCTATAATCCAAGTGTGATCAATAAGTTCTGTGCTGTACTTGCCAAGATAGAGAAATGGAAAATACTTAATCCTTATGGATTCTACTGATTGTATTAATTTGTATACAGACTTTAAAAAAAGAATATAAAGCTCGTAAAACAAATCTAAACCTACCTACGCTTTCCGTTTTTGTTTCAGTGTGGGACTGTATAACCTAAACTCAACTTTAAAACGAATGCAATTTCTATCTCAAAAATTACTTACTAAAAGTTCTTTCGCAACAGCTAAACAAAAAAAACTATCCAATATTAAGAAAAAAATATGTTTACGTAATTAGTTCATTCATTGATTCCGTATGTTGTTTCACTTTTAAGGTGAAATTTCTTCCTGATTAAAGATTTCTTTTACGAATATTTTAGCCGTGTTAAGTGATTTAAGTACGAAACTACAAAAATATGTGTTCTTATGAAACTGATGTAATAAATAAGAAAAAAAAAGAAAATATGATATCTAAAGTTATTTCATTTACGGCCTACGAAAAATTGTAATGATATTAGAAATGCTTAAAATAATTTCTTACATTAGGAAAGGTGTAAATAAAAAAAAAATATCACAGAAATAGGAGGCCTGGTATACCTTTATACCCATCAGAACGATGCCGTTAGTGTTTATGTCATGTTTTTTTTAGAAACACCAATGTATAAATTGGCAATAAACCCGTAATAGTCATAAAATACGCAAAAATGTGTCACCTACAGGAAATGCGAGTTGTATGTAAAATACATATGTTAGTCTGCGTGTAATCCAAGTGGTTTATCACAAATTCATGCAAATGAGACAGTAAGAAAACATTTATAGCATTCTGTGAATTTAAAATCACTGTACTTGTTAATATTAACGTTTGCGTCAACTCTGCATATAATACACGTAATAATACGTATGATTTATCATATATATTATACATAGATAATTTAATTGTTATAATCAACATAATTATCGTTACGTTAAAAAAAAACAAAATACATTTTGGACATTGATACATTTAATTACCTATTTTTATTATATTACTATTTTTATTCACATAATTATCATTTACATTTATAATTGTAACAATATTTATCTTAAGAAGTGTTAAGGGGGAAATAGAAAATAAAAGTAAATTAAACAATATTTTCATAATTAGCACTTGAATTAAACTTTGCATTCAAAAGAAAAAATCTATAAATTTCAATTTTATAAGCTACGTAATTTTTTCTTAAGGATTCTAATAAAGGATTTATGTTAAAACCCGTGGTGTACAATGAAATGGAATGCAGTAAAGACCTATACATATCGGTATTACTTTATCATAATAATATATAAATATGAAGAAATGAAATTTTAAGCTTGACTGAAATTTCACACGCATAGGTAAACACAGCTAGCTGTCCACATAACAGCCCAACTACGGCATACAATGCGGGTGACATCGAACTCTACGAACGGATGAGCGTGGAAAGGTCCCTAGCGGACCGGCGACATGGCATGCGGGACGAGGCCGGGGCGACTCGGATGCGACACGGGAGCGGCGCGGGGGCGACACGTACGTGGGCGTGCGGCGAGGTGATCGCGCGGCAGAGGCAGGCGTGCGCCGCGGGCGCCACGCGATAGTCCATGTAGTTCCCGTAGCCCATGTGATCGCAGGTGCAGGCGCAGTTCTCGATGTGCCGCCGCAGCTCCAGCTCGAGCTCCCACGGCGGCTCCATGGGCGCGCAGGGGCCCGGCGGCGTTGTCGGGCTCAGCGCGCGGCTCGGGCCGGGCGCGCGGCTGGCGCGGCCTGCGCGGCCTGCGCGCCCGGCGCGTCGGGCGGGTCGGCTCGCATCGCGCCCGGCGGGGGAATGCCGCGAGCCCGGCCGGGCCTCGAGCCCAGCGCACCCGGCCGCGCAGCCGCGCCGAGCTCGCCACGTGCCACCCCCGGCCCCCCGCTGGCCCACAGCCCGCCAAGCGCCCGGCGAATCTTTCAAATGCACAATCGTCAACCATCAATTCAGCCCGCACAGGTACGGTTGCGACGTTCGAACCCAATAATGCAATACCCGACCGCCGTTCTAGATTATCCGCTTTAATGCCTTAATGAGTTCGCCGATTAACAACATACTTTCCAGCAATTTCACCTATTAAGTAGCGATTATTACAGTACATTTCTCATGAAAGAAGTAAATTGTTGTTCCATAAAAATAAATTATGAAGTATTTAGATTCATTATTCGTGACTGATTTTATCAAATAGAAAGCGGTGGAAATACTTTTGAGAACTGTAACTGACGTTGGGTTTTCGAAGCGATAAATAAACGTTTCTCTCGAGTGAAATATCTGTCCCCAAAGCGCCAAACTTCGTTTTAATATAATCATATTATAGTTTTGTTGCGCAGAACAAGTATTAACATATTTCTTGTATTGTTTTAGTCCATACATGGAAAGTGAATGTTTGTTCGACGTAAAAGTACGTGAAAAAGTCTCATTTATTTTCATTGCTTGGCCAGCGCAGTTACTTTGTTATATCCTTATTCCTGCGGCACTACATATAGGGAATAGGTTCGATCTCCGCCCATAGTTCGTGTGACCTACAAATAATTGTGCCAGATTTAGATATTGGTTTATGTTAAGGTTGTATTTGTAAAACTTTTCTGCAATAGAGGATATTTTATCAGTTGGTGAATACTTTTATTTTAATAATAGAAAAATTGGTCAGATAATTTCTCGATATTACTTAACAGAGGTAAGCAAAATATGCTATACGATTATAGTACTATAAATCTTGTTGATTTTTCCATTAATTATGTTGTAATGGTGAAGTTAATGAAAATAATTAAAACTGAAGGAAATATCGGCCAGCGTGAAAATTACTGTTATGAAATTTAATCTGCCATTCAATAATTGCCGTCGACGAATAAGATTCTTAACTTTGAAAGAACTAAAAACAATCTTTTTCCGTGTTAAATAAAAGTATTACCAGAATCCTCTAAAAACATTATCAACGATTTAAGAAATTTAATTACGGATTGTAATGTAGATTAATCAACAATTATAAGATGAGACGTTTTTTGTAGGTATTGAGGGAAAGTTGTATAATGTTATAATCATAAGTTTTTAATACTTTATGTTTTATTTAAACCTTAATGATTATAATTATTATAGTCATTCTGATGCAGCAAACTTTCAGAACACGATTGAAAAATTCTGAACAGATAAAAGATTTAAGCTTTGCAAGAACAGAACCTCTTTATGTAATATATTGAATAAAACTTTTAAAGGTATTAAGGATTTATTTAACGTTATGACAATTTATATTTAATTATTGTTCACTACGTCATTTCATTTTGTTGACCCGTATCAACTGAAAAGTATCTTAGACCAAATTATAAAATTAGATATATGTTTTTACGTATTGAATAGAATTTACTTTAATAATATGCTATGATATATTACATACAAGTATATACATGCAACAGTATACGCTGCTACGTGGCTCTACCATAGTTTTTAACCGACTTCAAAAGAAGGAGGTTCTCAATTCGACTGTATTTTTTTTATGTTTGTTACCTCAGAACTTTCGACTGAGTTTACCGATTTTGGTGATTCTTTTTTTATTTCGGAAATACTTAGAGAACTTCTAAAAATATATTATAAAATGAATAAGGAGCGACATATTTGAGGTTGTTTTTGTTTTTCCTTAATAAAAATAGAGTTGTTAATAGACCTACATAGTAATTGATAAATCAGTATATGCATATTATCAGAAAAACATCATAGAAATTGGTTAAATTAATAGTTATAACAAATAAATGCTAGGAGTTATGAAATAATATTTAAATATCTTTTTTCATACATTCAAATATGGAAACGTGGCTTACAGTTAGTTACATTATGTCGTGGTTCAAAAATATTTGGTTCCATTCCAATAGAAATATGCGGAAGATGACAATGTATCATAGAGCAAAACTTTCACGCAACTATTATATATTTCAAGGCACAATCGGTGCCTTGTCCCAACTCGACGACGCTTAAACCGCAGATACGTATAACGGAGAGGCTAGGTGTACACTGCTTCCTTGGTTGAATTTAATCTCAATTTATTCACTTTTCGATTCAGCGCAGAACCATTGTTCCGCGTAAATGTAAGCCGATTGATTTCTAGTATTCACGCAAATTTCCATATTTTATTTGCATTTCTATAAAATATTGTTAAATGAAATGACAAAACTAGACTACCCTATGCACAAAGATGCTGTAGATTATTCGAAACGAAGGAATTGAATTTCCACTTTAATTAAAACTTAAATTATCGTAATAATAATCTATTAATCGGTAGTTTAAAAAAATACTTCTGAACATCGTTTTACGTAATATTGCGATCCTCTTGTAAACATTAATATATTCTGTTTCGATTTATTTATGCTTAACTATTCATGATTTAATTTATTTAATTCTGATTTTAAAATTCTATTCTGTTACGTTTAGTAATGTGACCTAAATTTTCAGCACAATAGGAAGAAAACGAAATACGGCACATTTTTCCAAAAACTTTTTGCCTAAAAAAACTCTCATCCGAAACTACTCCGGGAATCGAAAAAACATTTCGCATATATGGCACCATTTGTAAATCATTTCCTTTCATATCAATTCGAAAATGTGCCGAAGTCTACTATGCGAATTGCAACTCGGGAACTTAGCGGCTTGCATCTTGAAAATGACTTTATTATGCAAATCTCTGCGATAATTCCTGTTTGTTTTTGATCCTGCAACTTGGATGGTGATTTGTAACTTACAGGATCCCGTAAGCAAATACAATTATTATTTTAGATGATTAAATTGTTATACATTCAAATCTTTACGACACGAAACTGCAAGACACTACAACACTATATCACTAAGTTTTGTTGATCTTTATCATTTATTGTCTAAAAGTAAAGTGACGATATGTTCCACTCCTGAGCAAAGGTGTATATATATATATATATATTGTTAGAAGATAGGAGGGTAGTAGCACACTGCTACGGCCTATAAACGGAGCAGCGCTCGCCGTGTCAAGAGACTTTCTCATCAGCCGTTGTAGAGTGCGGTAGCACTACCCGAATTAACGATTGTGTCGGTTACTTAGAATTGTAGTGAAACTTCTGTTAAGTTTGGCCTACTGGCCAACAAATTCTTTTAAAAAAATCAATCATCGTTTCTATTTCCTAACATCAGAAGTGGGATTCTAAAACTTACGTGTCTTAACTCCGTACATCCTGATATGAATAATTTTCGAGTTTTCATACAGTGGGTGCTACCTAATGAAAAAAAATAAGTCGAAAATATATTGGTTCGTAAATGGTGAAGTGTAATGGGAACCTGTGGCTGCTGTTGGTGCCGAGGCCGAGACGGTAGCAGAGTCTGCGACGTCGACGACACCGCCATCGAGCGCGTCCCAGTATGCGAGCGCGCTCAAAGGCGAGCATGGCGGTCTGGCTTCAGTGGCCTCGTCTTCAACGGAGCGTTTCGTGAGTGCTACAGTGGACCACTTGAGTGCGGCCGATCAGATTATCGATGCGATATGATCCATCAATATACCGGGTGAGATCTAACCAGACTTATTACATTTTGACGTGCTGATATCGGTAATAGCGAAACGGGGTATTACTGGCCCGCAGATTCGCCCGTTGTGGTAGTTTTTGACGTTCAATAAGAGCTTAAAATAAGCCTATTTTGACTTTGAAAATGCAAACTGAGTTAGTAGTTTCCTTTCTGTTTATGTTTCATGATCGTATTAGGAAGATGCCTGAGCGCCAGGTAGTTAATACGTTCTCTATTCGTTGGGTCAGTACCTGTACCAAAATACCGTACCCGTAGCCTAGTGCAAATCAACGTCTGCTCTTTGAGTAGTCGGTGGGTAGCGTAGTATTAGCCGGTACTTTTGGGTAGTACAGTCTGATCTTAGCTTGTAGTGAAATCATAAGAGTTAAGGGTTAAAAAATTGTTTTTCTTTGTTAATTAATCACTAAATATGGCTATTTGTAAGAAACTTTCCTTATTAACCTTATTTAAGAACTTTTCATGAGTGGCAGCCTTGTACTGGCCATCGCAATGTAGGACAACCCCCCACAAGATGGACTGACGACTTGTGCAAATGTGCTACCCACCATGGATGCAGGTGCCTCAGGTTCATACTTCGTGGCTATAAGGGAGGCCTATGTTCAGCAGTGGACTCAAACAGGCTGAAATGATAATGATGATGAATAACTACATATTATGACACAATAGACACATCAACGTCTGAACGAGATAAACTCGAAAAGTACTGAACGAATTTCATACAGTTTTAACCAATAGACGGAGTGATTTATTAGTAAGATAATAATTATAAAGATAAGGTGTATAATTATATAAATGTGAATAAAAGGTGTATTATTATAGAAATCGATGATTGATATAGTCGGGTATTGAAAAACAATAGAGACGTATATAGAGAAGCTCTGCCACCCGTGCGAAGCCAGGACGGGTTATATTGTAACTTTATGCGAACGATTACATTAAAATGAAAAAGTATGGATTATTAACTTTGTTCATGGATAGATTTTATGGATGGTATTATAGTTAAATACTAGTTTTATTCTACAATGAACAAATCTACATATATGTGGTCCACGGAAACCACACATCTTTATTTTTTACTAATAAATTTATTGATTAATTTACGCACTTGTAATCACATGACATCATCCATAAAATTAATATACAATAAAATAATAATACCGCTTATGTCTATTACTGCGTCCATTGGCTTTTTCATAAGGAAAATGAAAAATAATTAAGAATAAAATTGAGTATCCGGGATAAATGTAGTCTAGGTCACTCTGACCCAATAACGAAAATATCCCTATGCAAAAAATCGTGTCAGTCCGTTGCTCTGTTGCTGTGTGAACGGAAGACAAACTAAGGTATACAATTTCCCCTTTATAATATACTTTTATAATATAAGTAGGTATTAATATAGTGTTCAAGATGGAAAGCAGGACTTACAGTTTCATAATGTAGTTTATGTAAATATTTGTTTGGTCATTTTTGGCATGGAATCGACTCGCAAATTCCGCTAACGATCTTAAGCTCACAGAGCACACGAGCTCAGAGTCACTCCAATTTTATTTATCTGTATAGATAAAGATAATGCAATGGTATGTGGGTAATCCAATAATTAAAAAATAAATGTACCTACATATGTTCCTAAATTTTTAGTCCTCAACATATTTTAATTTTGTTTCTCTTTCTGTTACGTTGTTTCAAAATAATCATAACAAATTATTATTCTTATTTATGAAGCTACAAGACAGATTCATCCGTACAATGCTAACCATCTAACGGAGATGATAGAAGCGTGTTTGTTCTATGTTTTTTTTATTCCTTACTAATTTTCAATAAACTGAAGAAGAATTTTTAATATATGAATAAGAATAAATGAATAAATGAAGATATACATTTTTAAGGGTTCTGTCTGTCTAACTGACCGTCTGTCACCAGGCTGTATCTCATGAATCGTGATAATTAGATAGATGAAATTTTGACAGCTGTATTTCTGTTGCCGCTATAACAACAAATACTAAAAAACAGAGTAATAAATATTTAAGTGGAGCTCCCATACTACAGACACGATTCTTTTGCCGTTTTTATAGATAATGGTACGGAACCATTCATGCGCGAATCTGACTCGCACTTGGGCGGTTTTTTTATATTGAGCCAGTTGTGCTAAAAATTACCGAAGAGCTAAATCTACATCATCGATTTTTTTAAAGACCGACCGAGATATCATATTGCTTCAGTAATTTTAATTATTACTTACTTTAAATATTATCGTCATTCTTTTTATCATTTTATTTCCTAGTTTATTATTACAACATAAGTTTCATTTAATGTTACGAAAATACTTTTTTAGAAATTTTTGTTTTTTTGTGTTTGTGGTGTTCGCCTGTAAACGTTCGTCGTAATTTATTACAAACGGTCCTTGCACTGTAGCCCGCTCGACATTCCACAGCTAAGCCATATAGAGGCATCCGCGTGTAGGTTAGTACTAACCGGCCACAGGCCGCTTATACTAGTCTCAGCCTACCTCTCGGGGAACAAAACCTTATTACAAAACGACCTAGATATGCTACTCAACTTAGGCCCTTCCGTAATAATTGCAGGAGATCTAAACTGCAAACACGGCTCATGAGCCATGGGATATCCACAGCATCCCAAATAACAACGGAAAGTATCTCTTTAGCTTATCCGATAATTTAAACTTTAGCATACTTGCTCCTGCGACTCCCACTAGGTATCCTACGGTGGACAACTATCGACACGCGACGCCGAGTATCCTAGATATCATGTTATTCAAGGAGGTCTCGCTCGACATCGAGTCGATAGAGACAATCCATGAACTAGATTCAGATCACAGGCCCGTCCTGTGTAAACTGGGCCAGAACGCCGGCACGGTCCCTCCGACCAAAGCCGTAGTGGACTGGCATCGTCTTGAGGTCAAACTCAAGGCCTTGGACCCCCAGGACTTATTCGACCTACCCGAGACGATAGCTACGTTCGATGACGCAAATCGAGCGATAGCAAGTCTCCGAGAAACTATCTCTTCCGCAGTCGCAGACTCTGAACGAACGGTGAAACTGTTGGGCCACCGACGGTTTAACTTTCCGCCCGACCTTCGACTGCTAATTAGACAGAAAAATGCAGCCAAACGCGCTTTCGACCGATACCGATCGGAATCGAACCGAACCCTACTTCGACGCCTTCAGCTAGAAGTCAAAGATCGTGTATCGGAACACCGACATACAACGTGGGGCACTCTCCTAGAGGACATCGAGCCATCGCACACCGCCTACTGGCGGTTGGCCCGCAGTCTGAAAGCAGACCCCCGCGAATCTCTACCG